CCCAAGCAGCTGGAGAAAACCAGGATCCCAGATTCCACACCAGTGTGGATCAGGACTCGCCAGTCTGAAAAGTACAGCTAGTGGTGAACAGGCAGGGAGGATGGTGATGATGTCATCCCTTGTATAAACACAACAAAGCAGTGACCACATGTAAAGTCACCTCTACCGATCAAAGGGCACACAGAGATGAGAGATTGGCCTAGAGACAGATAAGGAAGAACAGCCTCGATGTTATCAGGCTCATATAACGTCAGATTTTCATCAATGCTTTGATCAGAGTCAGGACGTCTGGTCCCCTCTTCACAAAAGACAGGCATCGAACTAGCGGCTGCCTGTATAGGGGAGTAGATTGATTAAAGGTCATCGTAATTCGCTCTGGCAAAAGTCAGCAGTTCTGTGAATTATATATGATTTGTGCTTGATTTTGTTCTTAGATAGAATCAATGTGGTCTGACTCTGGTGCTGGATCCTTTCCTTGGAAAACATCATCAGAAGTAGAGCAGTCTGAATGATGTCATTATAACCACTTCCTCAGCATGACATGTGGCATTTGCTACTAGGGCAAACATCAAATCAGTCCAGATCAACTGGAGTGGATGTAGAAGGGTGAAATGTCAGCTCATAACTTCCTAACAGGTATAAAATGCAGCCACGGCCCTCCAACAAACTGTAGCTGCTCTCAGACATGCACTGAACTCTGGACATTTTCCTGCAGGGGCGGAAGGTGAGATCGCCAGCCCCCTGGGAACATGGAAAGTGAGCGTATTGATGACGTTTCTAACACAATGGACGCAAAACTGAAAAACAAAACAGAATAACCTCAAACCTGTATAGAGGTACTCTGAACAACAACATGTGATTCAATCCTGCCTCCTGCATGATCTATAAATTGCCTGAACCAGACAAACGCAGCAGGAATCTCCTGGCGAACGAACCACCAACGCTCTGGTTTTCTACCCCCTGAGTCACAGCCGGCCACGTAGCCTAAAAGCATTTGAGTCATGCTGTGCCTTGATGACCACACTTATTTGCTTCACCTGAAGGTCAGCGTGACGTCTGAATGCAAATAAAAACTGTAATAGCTGTTGTTTGCATTCAGATGTTTTTCATTTAACTTCCTCAGAAAAGAGGCCCTCTCACCTTGAGGCAGCAGAGTGAATTTAAGCCTGTGTGAAATAATTGGCAGCCCCCACAGGGAGCGACGTGTTGAATGAGCATGGACAGAATTCACAGAATGAGAGAGGCTCAGGGAATAAAAAAAGATTCAAGAGATAAATCAGAACGTTAGTGCAGCACTGATATACATGTCCCTCACAACCAACCCCCAGGGCTACAATCATCTGTCTCTGATAGCAACTTTCAGTGTCACCATTTCTATTACTCTCCCACTGCCTGTGGCTCTGGAGCTATTCCCTTAGTTAGACACAGTCACATAAAGTCCAGGCACGCACGCACACGCACACACACACACACACACACTCTATTACTGTCAGGCTACTGCAGGTTCAGTCGTATATAGCATGTGCTGAATCATTCCTGTGCTCCATGATCAATACCACTTTAGGACAATTACCCTTGGCAGCAAACAATGTGATTATCATGACCCTGAATCTGAAAGATTCACACTGACAGCTACAATAAATAAGCTGAAAAAGGATAATTGCTACACAAACAACTTAAAGGTTCAGTGTGTAGAATTTTGTGATATCTAGTGTTGCATGCTGCAGCTGAACACCCCTCACCTCACCCTCTCCTTCCAAACATGAAAAATAACCTGTGGTAGCCTTTAATTGTCATAAAAACTCAAGAAGAAGAAAAATAAAAAGTTTGATTTTGTTCGCAAAAATAAAAAACACTATGTTTATGTTTTATGTGTATACTTATATTAATTTATTTAAAAGGGATAATGCACTTTACCAATATGCACGCTTGAGTCCATGTTATTGTGCCAGATTTAGCCATGCAGGCTCTGGCAGATAAAAAATAATAACAACATAAAAATAACATATAGACACATGCATAAAAAAACACAGTACACACAATGACGCTGAGCATGTATAAATGAATCAATGACATATGAAAACATGGCCAAAGGCACAAAAGTACAAATGATGAGTAAAACAATATCAAGAAACAGACGTAAACACTAAAATAAAACACACACAACACTTGAGCAGTAAAACAACGACATAACCAGACGATTAAACGTCTGAGCGCCAATAACAACAGTTATTTTTGTCTCTCAAAAACAACTGACACAGTTTAATTAACTACTCTGTATTGATCTTTATCTATTATTTAAGATGTTTTGATGCACGTATGATACACGGAGCTCTCCCAGGTCTTAATGTAGAAGTTCTTTAATGGTTCATCATGTTGAACCCTGGTTCCTACAATAAACTGCAAATTATGAATTGTTAAACTACATATTCAATATAATGTGAAATGGTAAAATAACTTCACTTTACACCTTCTCTTATGAAATAAAACTAATAAATACTTGCTATTTGTATAGACTACAGCCATGCACAGAAGATATTAGACATGGAACTGGGGTCCCACTCAGACTACACAGGAGCAAAGATGCAATTGCATCATTTATGTGTTTACATTATTTTTCCATCCGGAGCCAGAGGCGGGGTGCACCCTGAACAGATCGCCATCAAACCGCTGTGCCAACATACAGAGACCATTCACACTCTTGAACACACAATTTAGAGTTACCAATGAACCTAACCACTTTCAGGAACCCACATTTCTCGTTTTCGGTGCTGGGATTTGAACCATTTTGCCATGGGGCGAAAGTGCTACCCACTGTACCACCTTGCGTCTCCTTGTATTTATCTTGCATCTTGTTTTTCTGTGGTGGTTTTCATGACTCTGTGGTTGTTTGATTTACTTGAGGCTGCAGTAATCCATCTCTGATGCTTGTAAGGCAACTACCTGATTGGCCAACCAGAGATGGCCAATCAGATTCCATCCCTAACCACCGCTCTGGCATCGCCCCAGCTAACAATAGACAGAGGAGATGTCGCTGTGATCAGTGTGTGTGTGTGTGTGTGTGTGTGTTCTGTAGCAAACAGAGTCTGTCTCTGTCTCCTGGAAATAGAGAATCTGATATCTCCACCGTCTGACAGCGCCTCTTGTCTCTGCAGTCCTGACACAGAAGTGGAGCAGATCTGATGAGATGTGCAAATTCTAAAGCCTGCGTTTGTTCTAACTTCCTTTCATTCTCTGATCACAATATGTCTTTCATCCTTCAATTTCCCCCCCTGTCTCTTTCACACTCAACCTTTTCCCTTGCTCTGTTTATATGGATCATTCTGTCATGATGTTTTTCTCATATAGAGACTCAATATTTCACTATGTGTGACTTTGTCCTGTGCGTCCTTAGAGCATCTGTGCTGTGTTACTTCCAAACATGGATGGCTGTATTTTGTGCACGTCCATGTTCACGTATTTTGTGTGTGTGTGTGTGTGTGTTCGTGCACCGTGCTGTATTCCCAGGGGGTCTCACTGCGTGTGTGTAACAGTCGATAGCGCTGGCTGGCGAGTGAAGTCAGCCATTACTTCAACTTCACTGACTTCCTCAGCATTTGAGGTGGAAGCCAAAAGGGACGACAGGAGAAGAAGCAAAACAAGAGAAAAACAAAAAGGAAGAATAGTATAGAGGAGAATAGAGCAAGCTGCTAATAATGAGATACACTCCCCTATCAGAGCTGCATTATGAGTAGTTACACTAGCGCATAAAACAAACCACAATTGTGGCATAAACCACAGCTACCACTTAGAGGAGACAAAAAAGAATAAGGTGAGTGGCTATTGATAATCAGGGTAATTAGTTTAATCATTGATTTCTAAGGCAGTGGAGCAAATGATGTGGGGATTTGTTAAGACTGACAATCTCAGTACAAAAACACTGATGCACAAGATCATGAATCACAATTTAAGCAGCTTTGGTGCTGCAGGGCCTATTTGTGCTGTGTGTCATAATAAAGACAGCATATCCTTCACAGTCAAATCAAAAGGAAAATCCACCTTTGATGAAAGACAGGGACTTGTTCGGTCTGACAGTTTTGTAAAACTGCTCAAACACTGTGCAAATGATTATCAAGGGGATTTAAAAGAGAGAGGTTCCACCTGAACATAGTATTTTATCAGATATCATTATTTCATCAGCCATAAATGTGCTTGGACATTCAAACTCGGCAGGTGGAGGAGCTGGGGTTGTTTCTGCACCAATAACCTTCTGCAGTCCTCTGGCACCGTCCAGTGGGCTCAGTGTGTAATTACAATGTGTGTATCTGGATTTTTATTCAAGAATTCTACACTTCTACACTTTCCATATGCGCACAGTGAACAAATGTGAAAGGCCCTTTACAGAGCTTGTGTTTGGTTTGTCTTTTCTGGCCAACAGTAGAAACATGGCAGAGTCTACTGAATACTATATTATATTTGCCTAAAGAGCCCCCTAAATCACAAATTACGGTATAAAGTATAGTAAAGTATATTATTATTATATGTATTGTGAGGACTAATTGTAAGGGAGATGTTTGATCTAAAGGGTTTGCATAGAGAATAAATGAGAGTCACCATGACAATAGCTGAAAACTGCAACACAGTCACACCTTTAAATCCAAGGAGGGTTGAACTGTGATTATTTTTGTCTTGTTTTCCCAGATGAATTCGAAGCTCCAGTTGGGGAATCTAAGGTCAAACCAAACCAATAAAATAAAAACTATATGGAGCGTTAACCTTCCAGAAACGTGAGTTGATTTTTTGTGGCGGCAATAGTATCCATTGGACTCTCTTTTGTAATTCACAGTTAAGATTGTAAGTCTTAGAAACAAGATATGCTGGGTTCAGAGTGGTATGAGTTGATTTACAAACAGGATATATGTCACAGGGAAATAATTAAGAACAGTCACATTTTGTGTGTGTGTTTGAAAAAGTGCAAATTCCTCAAAGTTGTGAGCAGAATTACTCACTGACACACTTACCATAGACTTTGCCCAAGAAGAGCGTCTTGACCAGGTTGAATTGTGTGTCTGAGGCGTCTGGGAGTGTGTAGCTGACTGGAGGGTAATGATCCAACTGGAACAGTGAGAGAGAGAGACTTATTAAATCAGAATCTGCAGCAGATGAGACCTGCATCAGCACATTAGGTGTAGTACATAACACAATGCAGAAGAAATGTAATTCACTCCAGTCAGAGGCTGTAAAACTGCAGCACAGCATAATCAAAAGCTCAATGGCTCCTTCTGGTGGGAGGAAGCTGCAAATAACCACCAGGTTAATAAACTCTGATATTACTCCAATGAATCATAGTCCAATGCAGTTCAATGAATATTAACTGTATATTAAGTAATGACTGTTCATTATGTGACAACATGTTTTAGCCAGGACAAATTAGACTGCTCTGATACAACATCATTTGGCATGTGAGTGATAAAATAAAGGTTTTAGGATTTAAAAAAAATAACAATAATGATAAATACAAAAAAATACAGGTGGTAAAAAAATCTACACGAAAATGGAAAATTGTGAGTTTTAAAATTTACCAGAAACTCCACCAGTGTTTATTATTCAAACGTTATCGTTTGTCTTGGATCTTTCTCCATAAACTTGGAGAAAATGCATTAAAATCCGCAATTAGAATTGTGTTTACCTAATTATACCCCTGTTCAAAATACAGACCAGAAAATCCAGCTCCAAAAGCTCTCATCACGCTATCATGGCTGCTCAGGAGTCATAATAGACCAAACGATGAAAGAAAATCTCTCATTTGCTTTGCTGTTAATTTCGTTTTTCGCCTTTTTCTGTGTGTAGTCGAGCTCATCGGAGGTGAATGCAAACTGATAAGTGATCTTCAGTAATGATCCTGTACACAAACGGCTCTTCACTGGGACCAGAGATAAATGATGACATGCACATTAATTAAAGAATATGTACTTTCTGAAGTCTGCAGTAGCTTCAAAGCCTTAAAAACGTGCGAGAACAAGAGGCGTGTTTAGAAAGAAGAGTGCCAGTGGATTTGTGAGAGGAAAGAGGCTGATGGAGGGGGGAGCCGGAGGAGAATACATGGCTTTAATATCCCTGCAACATAATTAACTTGTTATTGCTGTTGCACTGAAGTTTCTAATTAGCTTGAAGGCAGCAGCCGCTGCTATTGACAAGAATCATTTCAACCCTCCACAAATTGGTTTCTGTGTGTTCCAGAAATAAAAAGGTCTTCCTTGTGCACACGGGAGAAATGTATCTCAGCGTGCACCCACTCTGCAGAATGCAAGCCGACTGCCCTGCAGCCATGCAGAGAGCGAGCGGCTGATTGAAAACAATGACTTTTGTTACTGCCTGTTTTACTGGAAATTTGTTCCATTGATGTGCTGAATAGCTGTCGCGGCCTGTTAGCTAGAGGCTGAGCTGGACTGTCGCTAAAGGGCTGAGATTTATGTGTGTGTGTGTGTGTGTGTGTGTGTGGGTGTGTGTGTGTATTGTTCTTGTTTGCAGGTTTGAATCAGTACAGTTCTCCCGCACAGAAAATTCTCTCTACTCCCAACGCCCCACCAGACTATTTCCTTCCTCTTTCTCTCTCTCTCCATTCACGACACAGCGTATCCTAATTTGATTCTTTCCAAAAGCCTGGTCTCAGCGGAGCATTGTGTGGGTTTTGTTTTCCACAGTGACTGCAGGGTGGGATAATGGTGCACAATTAAATTGTGCTGAGCTTATTTACTTTTATCTGAGAAAACAAATTGGCTGCACAGTTGCAGAGGGCAGTCTGAGTCCCGAAACCTCGCAAAAAGGTCCGCAGAGGGAGACAGCCGGGAAAGAAACCTAATTTTTACCAAACTTTGTCAATTACAACTGCAATTACTGGGATTCTGTCCCTTTACACTGAACCATTTAGACGACATGATTTTCTCCTGGAAGCTCTGGTGCTCGCCTCTCAGGTTACATAAAGCTTAGGAAAGCAAAGTAATCAGGGATAGACAAAGAGAAAATGAACAATGGGTAAAATCTATTTCCCTAACTATGTACTCAGAAGGAATCTAATTTAGCCGATGTGCTGTATATATTCAAACTCATTCACAGCACACAAAGAACTTTTTTACTTCTGTGGCAAGTTTCGTTTGAAATCTAGAGGAGGACGAGCAAAAAGCAAATAAATGCTTAATTTCCTGTGTTCACTTGAATAAAGAGTTTACATTCCATCAGCCAGCCATTCACACCACTAACCCCAACCAGAGGAGGAGGAGGAGGAAGAGGGAGAGGGGAGGGAGAGAGGAGGAGAGAGGAAGAGGACAAGTAGGAGAGGAATGAAGGAGAGTGAGAGGAGAGGACAGGAGACAAGAGAAGGAGAGAGGAAGAGGTAGAGGAGAGGAGAGGGAGAGGAGAGGAGAACAGAAGACGAGAGGAGATGAGGATATTGGAGTGGGAGAGGAGAGAAGAGTAAAGAAAGGAAGGACAGGAGGAGACGAGACGAGGAGACATTTTTGATGCCTGAAGCGACTCCTCACTTTCATCTCTGAACCCTCACAGTGTGAGAGCAGGTTGAGAGAAAGCTCCAGAGTCACAGATGGGAACTGATTTCTCCTTCATACGTCTTTGATAGTGAGCTCACCTGACGAGATCTCACAGACGGCTTTAAAAACCAAACACTTACTGCCTGCACTGCAGTCTGTTTGACTGAATGTACACTTACTGCTGGTATTTATGTGCTCATGCAAAATCCACTCCTCTAAATCAGTGTCGGGATTATAAAGGTGTTAAATGCATCAAAGTAACCTTTGTTATCATATTGTGTGGATCTACTTTTTCATCTCTCCTCTCTCTCTGACTCATTCTGTCGTTTTATTTTGTTCTCCACTTCTCTCCCGCTCCCTTTCTCTCTCAGATTCCAATTACCCTCATGCCTGCTTTTCTCCTCACTTGTTCTCCAGCCTGTCTTTAAACTAAATAGTCGCTTGTCTAAATTGCCTTTAAGATTTGCAGCCTGATAGCGGAGAGGCGAGACCTTTGCAGCCTCAGGTAAACACTCGACTCTCTTCTTCTCACTGGAAATTGAATTTGATCCACTGGCGGGCCCACCAGCCTGACAGACTTTTATTGCTTCTGACTCGTACTGTATCTCTGCCTCTCACTCGTACATAAAAGCAGCTGCAACAATGCCCGTAATGGGCAGGTTAGCAAAAATAGTAATAATGGACAAGTTCAATAACAAATGCAGATGTCCGGCTATGAAATACATCGTTCACAATGCAATGATTGCTGATCCAGATTAAAAAGAGTATATTACACTTAAGACGATTCTGTAACTTTGAAAGAACTTGTTTAACGGTTTCAGAATCCAGCTAAAGTTCTGCCCATTTTGTCTGACTTTGCAAATGCTGTCATGGTGAATCTCTAGCTTCAGTGATAATGATCTAATTGTAGATGAACCAAGCAGATGTTTTAAAAGCGATTCAAATTGTTCATCCAGCAGGTAAAGAGAAACATCGATTTCGAGTGATGTGTTCACCAGATTAATTTAAGTTCAACTCTCCTTTTAGCTCTGTTTTTGGTCTCCACCAACTCAGATGGGGAAATATATGGTTATTAAGCTGCTAGATTAGCATGCTAACTTTCTCTCTCTGCTAGAATAGGAAAGGTGGTGTTAAGATAAAACGACATGAACAAGAGTTGCAGGCTATGAATCTAAAAACAATAAGCTGAAAGATGCAGTTGAGCTTTTTTCAGCTTTTTTTTTCTGACTTCCACCTCAAGCAGCAAAATATGCCAATAAAAAAATGCTTTTCTTTTCAGCTTCCTGTAGCATGTCACTTTAATGTTGTTACTTGCATCAGATCATGATAAAACGCTGTTTGACATGTAATATTATTTTCTGTGCATGTCACAAGCAGAATTTGTCCCGTTTCTCACATCTCATTAGTGCGAGTTTGAGTGCAGTTCACGGTTGCTGGCTCAAAATAAATAAACTATAACTACGATCCCTCAGGGTTATGTGAGGAGTTAGATAGTGGGAGGTATGGAGAACTACAAGGTGGGGAAGTAGAGCGAACAGATTCATTTGAATAATGTTGATTTCGTAGTGTGGTATGTGTGAAGCCTCCGTCGTGAGTTGACCTGACAAGATCTTGCTTGTGCATGCGCATTTGTTGGTATGCATGTCCACATCTGTTTATATATTTATATCTAAAGTGAATGTTCGCACGTTGAAAAGAGCACAGAGGCGGCAAGTCAACATAAAAAAGTTTCATTCATCAAAGTTATCTTCTTAACAAACCTCCAGGCTCTACTTTTCATGCCCAATCCATAAACCTCTGCCATTTTCTCCCTCATAGCTCCATTACTAAATTCCTTTTTTTCTCCCCCCTTAAGTCTAAATTACTACATCACGCTCACCGGTGTTCCTTTTTTAACACTAAAGCTGCTTTCAGACATGCACTGAACACCAGGATCCTCCAGACATTCTGCAGAAGGGCAGTATTTGTGAACGCAAATGTCCAAGTGTTAGCTTCTGGACTTTCTGTGGCCGGTCCCCTCGTGAAAAGTCTGCAGAATGTCTGAAGGAGCTGATGTGACAAGCGAGTTCACCGCTGTAAACAAAAACATGTGATCTCCCAACGTCACATTCTGCCTCTGCCTGCTGCTCCACCCCTCACGTGAACGCTCTGGAGATTTCTGTGTAGTTGTCAACGCGTGTAAGAGGACAATCTCCTGCTGTGTTGTTCAAGCGTGAAAGGCAAACTCCAGAGAAAGTCCAGACCCGATCCTGCAGACATCCTCTGGAGTTAATGCCAGAAAATGGCTGAAGTGTTGTGTGTTTCATTTAACGACTAACAGAGTCGAAGTGTTGTTGTTTAGAGTGCAGCCTGGGCGCATGGGGAGTGGTAAAGTAAGGGTTTGCATTTGATAGTTAATAGTTCAGTCACACACTGGACACAGGGCCGAATATCAATAATGTCAATCTAGGCACCACTCGGCTGCAATCAAATGTGTGTGTGTGTATGTGTGTGCGTGACTGATGAGCAAAGAATCTCACAGTTGCTCCAATCACTTCCCGCGCCGGTAAAGAAGGGATGTGTTATGTCGAAGCGCTCCCACCGGTGTGATCAGCGGCTGCAGGATGTGATTTGCTCGGGGAATGAGGACGATTTCCATTGGATGTTTCAGTTTAATTTTCTCGCTGTCAAAATTTTTCACTGTAGTGTGCGAGTGAGCGTAATGAGATTCCAGTGTGAATGAACGAGGTCATTGCTCCGCGTGCACTTAGCGAGAGAGAGAGAGGGTTGCAGATTTATGTGGAAGAGGAGATGTGATGATGATTTGATTTGCGGTGGCTCACACTTTATTTCACTTTAATGAAAATGACAGTGCAGGGGCTGTAATAGAGTTGTAATTATCACCAGAGAAGATGACATCACTGCTGCCAGAATGACAAAGAGCACAACTAATAGAATATCCACCGTCTATCACTGATCATTCCGCAAATACTATCTGAATAATGCTGCAGGAAAAACTCAAGACCTAACTGAGCTTCTCCTTATTATGGTGTTCATATTCATAACTGAGATATCAATTACACATTAAAACTAGTTACCAGTTTTGTGTTGTAGCTGATTTGTGCATTTGTTATTTGTTTCCTATGTGTCCATATGGAAATACATTTGGACATCTAGCAAACATACTGTGATTCATAGTATTTACAATACTTATATACATGAGAAATACAGTGATTGATGATACATTTTAAATCTAAACTTTAAATTATCACCAATTTGCAATTTTTTAAAATTTCCTTTTCCAATACTGCTGAAACACATTATCTATAAGTTGACTCAGGGTAGGTGGGTTCTGCACAAGTCCATGTGTGATGGGTTTACTTGGTGGATACACTATGTGGCTCATTTATGTTATGGGTGCAGAAATAATGCACACAACATGAACATAGCATTATAACTACTTACACTTGCAAATATATATCTATTCCCACCTGGATGCAACCAATCCCTGGGTTTTATACGTGGCTCTACCCTCTATTTAGAGTCCACCTTAAATTACAGCCTGCAGCCAAATCTGGGCATTTTATCCCAGAATAAAGTGTTTAATAGTTGAGCTGAATTCTCAATCCATCCTTGACAGCAACTGACTGGGGTTTGGCTGTATTGATCGACGTTGGGCTGTTTAGCTGCACAAAAATCAAACACACACACAATTATGCATGCACAAACATGCACACTCTCGCACACACTTTAATACCTGCACGCTCAGCACCGTGCACTCATACAAACACACACACAGATCGATGCTTTCTCTCTGTTGCTATACTTAGGCTGTCTACTGGAAGTGGATTAACAGGGGCAGAGGACAAGCCGCTTCATCACAGCAGAAGACAGAACAGGACATTGCACTCCCCTCTGACTTATTGCGCACAATCGGAGCTGGAGCTGGATGGCAATCCCCTGCACTCCGTTGTTGTAAGTAGGACTTTGAAATTGAAATATGTGTGTGTGTGTGTGTGTGTTCTATACCTGGATGGTGATGCTTCTGTTGACACGGGACATGTTTATGCTATGAGGCTGCCCATTGGCCAGGTTGCGCTGGTCCACATCAATAGTAAATGGCTCCTGCAGGCCGCCAAGGTTATACCGCACCTGCATTGAACCTGAAGACATGCAACACATGGTTTGCTCTGGTTGCATGAAACCTCACATCTCTGCACACAGCTCCAACTCTCCTCCTCTAAAATGATTCAAGCATGAGCCCTCATCAATAAACACCTGCATTAATAAAATACATGTCAAAGATATTTCACAAGCTGTGGCTGTACAAACACCACAAGTAGGTAGTAGATGTATTACTACTTTGTGACACATAAGATATTTCCGTATTTATTTTTGTTCATTATAATCACAAGCCTTTTTATCCTAAAGCAGTTTCTTAAAGAAACCCAAAATAAAGTTTTCTTTTTGAAGTGATGGAGCAAGAAGAGGTGATGGATAGTGGAGGAAACCCTGAATGATTCAGACGATCCGCAGCTTGACAGGGGATTATATATTTACTGTCTCAGGGCGCTGCGTGAGCGGGAGGGCCAAGAGTTTCCAGCAGCAGCCCTGAGCAATGTGAGTAGTTTGTCGTTTTAGTTTGGTGATTGTGCACATCAATTGCTGAGACGCTAGATGGCACTGTCAAATTTTTATTACTTCTGTTTTATCAAAGCACTTTTCTGCCTGTCAGCTGCACAGTGGGAGGCTGAGAAGTGAGAGGGAATTTTGGAGATTCTACAACTGTCCAAACTGTGCTGCGAGCACAGCCTTTAAATATGTGCTTTGCTGCACTAACAAGCATTACTCCGAGCAGACTGCACTGCTCACTAGCGACCAACCACAAACTGCATGTTTATGAGTGTGTGTGTGTGTGTGTCTCACCATTGTGTCTCAACACCACAGCCAGAGAGTCCTGCGTCTTGGAGCTGACATACATCAGAATGGCGGGAGCACTGGATGTGCTGAAACTAAAAGCAATTTCCTCCTTTGTCAGATTCACCTCATGTGGCGTCTGCTGGTGCGTCAGGATCTTTGCGTCCCGACTGGCACCCGCAACCGCTTCGGGCAAGAAGTTGTACTTGATCAGTGTTCCAGCATCAAAGAAACCCCCGACATCTGAATGAGTTAGAAAAAATTTCAATAAAAATGTTTAAAAAATACACATGTATAATACAAGCAGGTGAACACACAATACAATAACACTGCTTGTCCTTGTGGTTCCAACTCAGTCAAAAGAACTATGATATCTGCTAGATATCTGTGGCTGCGGCTCAGGGGGGCGCAGCAGGACGGCGGTTTAATCTTTGTCTCCTCCATTCCACGTGCCGTAGTGTCTTTGGGCAAGACACTGCCTGTGCCAACAGTGTCTGAGTGATGTGTTGCTGCACTATATGAATGTGTGTGCATGGCAAAACAGTACAGTAAAGGTCATGAAGACAAAAAAAAAACCCATGTAAATACAGACCATTTTGAACAAGTCAACAAGAAAGACAGAAAGAAGACAGGCTAGACATGTGATGTTACCAGAGAGGAACATACACGCACATAAATATGGCCGTGTTCAGGAGGTGCAGTAAAGTGGGCGTTAAACTGCTGCGCTTGAAATGCATTAAATGATGAATGAAAGAAAAAAACTGCAGCGCTCGAGCATCTGAAACCAAACAATACATTGTTTACCAGTACATTAACAAAGCTAATGGAATATTCCAGCCGATCCAGCAGGCTTATTGATTCTCGTAATCAAGTGTTGAGAAGAGGGGACCTTATTTTTCTAAACTCCTGTTATACTCCTTTATGTGTGTGTGTGCATGCAGATAAAAGATAAAAGACACAATGTGCGTGAAATTACAGAGATGAGCCTTCCATGATGAGAACCTGGGGTTGAGTGTGTGTGTGTGTGTGTGTGTGTGTGTATGTGTGTAGTAAATGCCATGGAATATGCCTTGACATGTTTCCCTTTCCTCTGTGGCAGCAGGAAAAATGTATAACTACACTCTGTACAAGTGTAGAATACTAAGTGAACACATTTATGCATCTTATTTTAAAGCCTCACTTCACCCATCCACTCCCAGCGGACACAGTACAATAAATACTTCAAGCTACATTACTTAAATCTAATGGAAGGCTTATTACTAGAAAATGGGAAAGTTCTCCGGCTGCTATTGGGCGTGGAGGCGAATCCTCGCATTCATTCAGCTGCACCACAATTTTGTCTTACGCTCTGCCGTGCACTGATGTGGTGTCGAGTTGGGAAGTCCGGGTAGACACGCACATTATCTATTGTTCTGTGTTAACCAGGCGGACAGCTTGTCAAGTTCTCAAATAGCTGGATTCTTTGTTTCCTGTGGCTCGACTCTCCAGGGATTCATGCTGCTGAGTATTAACAGAATCAGACTTAAATTCTCGCAGATGCTTGATTAAATTTCTTAAATCGGTTACAAAATGGCATATGAATAAACAAACAATTCTTCAACACAGTTTATCATGGACGAGGGACGTTACACAAAATAAAACCAGCCTCCTTCCTCACAGCTACACGCATATCTATTGTTTTTATTGCTCATTTCCGCTGAGCATGTTTTATTCATCGTAACATAATTTCATTTATATAGGCTATCATGTAGTGCTGATGTGAAGCTTTCACACACTCAACCATTTGAAATAACTTTTTAAGGCGGTGAATTATTCATATTTTCCGTGATTTACAGGCATACATAAAAGTCACAAAAGCAAGCTGGGATAAAAATCGATGTACATATAAATAGACCTTGTAAAAGTGTTTCATTTATTTTGTATTCTTCTAACGTATTTGTGTGTATAAATAGGGAGACAAAGTTGTTTTTGCAACCTTGAAGCGTTGAACATAATTTGAGCGATTATCCCTCAAGGTGGCCTGTGTCATTCTTCTGGCTCTTGGCAGCTTTGTATTTTTTAAGAAAACAGACGCAGACAAAAGTTGAGTTTATGCAGGAAGAAAAGGAAACCATGCATGATGGATGTGAGAGTATAAAAGGTGCCAAACAAAACCAAACATGACAGAAAAGACATATCTGATCGTGATAACAGAGCTAATGTTATAACGTAAATATTTGAGAAATGCATTTTCATTTTAAAACTTCCAAGATCACATGACGATTAAAAAAGTTACTCATACACGAAAATCAAGCAATGTCAGGTAAGAAACATATTTTACTCTCTATGTGAAGATGGACGACATGAAGGCTCCCTGAAATTTAACAGTGAATCCATTTGTAAAACCTGAATTTTGACCCTGTTTAAATTTAGTGGCTCCTGAGTCTCTAGTAAAAGCTGTCATTATAAGTGGACTAACTGCAAACTGTAGATTATGTGGGGCCTTGCATGTGTCAGCCTCCTCTGTCCTGCTGATAAAAAAGAAAGAGAGACTCTGACCAGCTGCCAGGAGCCACACACACACACACACACACACA